TCAGATCCACACCCAGGATTACAGTACAGACATTGGATTCATTGCTTGAGAAATTAGCAATGGTCAAAGAGAAAGGTTCCACACTGACATAGCAACGTGAAAGTTAACTTGGTTCCCACAAGCAATATAAGACAACAAAGCGGCTTTGCAGTGAAAGTCCTAGAACAGCTCAATGGCAAGAACAAGGTGCGCAATCAAGCCTGCAGTAACATACCTGATTGTAGCCAAAGAGGAGATAGACACAGATGTTCGAAAGCTCCTCTCAGATCCATCCAAATCCACATGAGACTGTCGGAAGGAAGCCGAGGACTAGTGAGTGTGGGAACCACTGTCCAGGATGAAAATCCAGCTTTTTCAAGACAAGGCCCCGGCAGATGAGGTGCTAGAATGTTCAGACAGTGGGGTGAAGAGGTGCTAGAGGCATATGGCAGACAAACCCCTACATGGGGCGTGAACATAACTGAAGTTGATATCAAGAAATACCAATGGCTTGAGAGGGCTGGTCTGAAGGACAGCACAGAGGCACTGATCCTGGCTGCTCAGGAGCAGGCCCTGGGCACTCGAGCAATAGAGGCCCAGATCTACCACACCAGACAAGACCCACGGTGTACTGTGCAAAGAGGCTCCTGAACAGTCCGCATAACTGCGGGGTGTAAGATGCTGGCAGGGAAAGCATACATGGAGCGACATACCAATGCGGGCATAGTTCAGAAACATCTTCAGAGTACGGGCTGGAGACCCCAGGATCAAGGTGGGAAACATCCAAAGGTTTGGAGAATGACCGAGCCAAGATCCTGTGGGACTTCCAGATACAGACTGACAGAATGGTATGGCGAACCAACCAGACATAGTTGGTATAAGAACAGAGCCGTGTGGTTGACATCGCAATACCAAGCGATGGTAATATCAGGAAAAAGGAACACGAGAAGCTAGAGAAATACCAGGGGCTTGACAGAAGGATGTGGTGAATTGACAGTCTATATATATATACATAGGTGAGAAACACATATATATATATATATATATATATATATATATATATATATATATATATATATATATATATATATATATATATATATATATATATATATATATATAGGGCTAAGTTCAGACTGCAGGGCTTAATGCTCAATTCCGATTTTTTTTTTGTGAAATCTGATGTTTTTGTGAGGTCGTTCACATTTCCAATTAAATACAACTTGTATGTGACTCCAGTGTGAACGTAAAACAGCCCGAAAGTGTCCCGCATGTGCACTGGAAACACCATGACGTCAACCGCAGCGATCGTGCTCTGTGTTTACAGAAGTTGTCCAAACATGGACGCAGCATTGAGCACCTGGAGATTTTAAAGTTCCTCTCGTACCAGAGCCAGAACATGAACAACTTACTTGTTTTAAGGAGGAGATTGAGAAGGAGAAGGACGAGGTTTTTGGCCGTGGTGTTTTGTGGGACAGCGGCAGCAACGTCCGTTGAAAGGAACGTGTGGATGTGGAGACGTAGCCAAGAGTGGTGAGTGGCGATGTGCTTCACTTCAGTGACACAGAGTTCATTAACAATTTTTGCCTACTTCAGTGCAGAATAGTGACGTTTGTGGCTTCTTGATAACGTGTAGGTGGATGAATGCGCTTTGACCATTCAGACTGAAGTCGCATGTCAAAAGATCAGATATGTATCGGTTTCAGGACCACATTTCGAAGTGTCCTGGGTCACATTTGAAAAAATCTGATCTGTGTCGTTCAGACTGTCATTAAAAGATCAGATACAGGTCACATAGAGGCCAAAAAATCGGATTTGGGTCACTTCAGGCTGCAGTCTGAACGCAGCCTAGGAGATAGTTTATGTTTTAGCTTTTCAGCGATCACACGAGTGCAGGTCATACAAGTACGTGTGCAGGTTTAGCGCAGCTCTTTTACACTCATTTCACCCTTTATTTATATTGCTACTGTTGTGGTGAAAAGACTGGAGAGTGTCTTTTGGATGCATGCGCACTCAAATTTACGTTGTAGTAACCGGGATACAGCATATACATGCCAGAGTATCCCGGTCACTATCAGAATATACCAGCTACAGTACCCCGGTTTCTAATAACAGGGATACTGAAACCGGGGTACTGCGTATATATGCACCATGAAGAAACCAGGATACTCAAAAAACCTGATCATAACCGGGACACTGATGTGCATGTATACTCACTAATTTTCCATATTTCCATCTAGCATTTATACATTACGAGTGTTTCTATTGCTCAAAAATACCATAATTCCTTCAGTGAACAGGGCGACTCGCCAAAGATCTGAACTGTAATGTAGCGTAGTGATGTGACCCGCTTGTCTCCCTTGTGATATATACTCTAGGTTTAATCTGCACTGTGGAACATTCCAGACAATGCAATAACATTTCCACAGAGATATCAGGTGGGGGACCCTCCACTAGAAATGTTACCCAGCACACCTTTAAAGTGCAGTGGATAAATGAAAAAATAAATAAAACAAAATATAAGAATAGGATGTTGAAATTTAAAATATTTTTTGTATGATATTTCTTAACCATTAATCTTCTTCGGGCAGTGCACTAGTTCTAAAACGATTGACGAAAGTTGTTCAAATATTTAATTTCAAGTAAACATTTTTCCTTATGTTTAAATACAGACATTACTTCATATAAGAAGAGGATGCATGATACTTTTTAATATATAAAACAATAAGACAACTCTAAACTTGAAGTCCAACTTATGGGAAATCACTTTTGAAAACTTTGTGGCCTGACCTTGTTTTTACTGCGCAAATCAGTCTGTTTGTAACAATGGTCGTGGAGTGTAAAGTTTCAGATGTTTGGGTGAAGCCTAAAGCCCGTGGTAAACACTAGACTCTTATGATGGCGTTTTAATGAGAAATCTCCACAGTGCCTCGCTCCCCCGCTCTGTGTGAGTGAGTCTTATTAGGAGTGTTTGTGCCGCTAATGAAACAGTGCATCTCTATGGGACAGAAAACAGCTACTAAACATGCCTGAAATGACCACTGCAGAAGCGCTGTTGCCAGAAAGTCGTTGGAAATGCTCAGAAGTTTGATGTTATAGTAAGAAGTACGTTTTGAAGAGTCATACCAGTGGTCTGAGTTTAGTTTTTGAAAGCAGGAGGATCTAAAGCCCAACTCAGAGCAAATCTCAGCGCAAATAAAAGCTCCCACAAGTTTGGGATGTACCAGTCAAAAGTGTTTATCTGTATTGTGTACTTAAAAAGAGGAAGAGATCTCGTGGAATTAACAACTTCTGTGTATATTCTCTGAAACAGGCTTTAGTACAGTCTGTTGCTTTGCCACAGGTTTACTCTGTTTTCAGTCGTTTGATATCATTATTTTTGGTACAACACTGCATTTCACCGACTAGTTCATTCACCTGTCAATCTCACTGAGGAGAAAAAGTCTAACGGTCATGACTAGACCACCACGGCCTTTCTATGTAGAGTTTAATCTTTCTTCCTGTGTCTGGGTGGGTTTCCTCAGTTTCCCCCCATCAACCCAAAACAAGCACAACAGGTCAGATCCTCCAGCTAAGGCAGTCCTGACCAAGACAAGCTCAAGATCTGGAGATGGTTCCTGGTGCTCCTCCTGAGAGGTTCTGGAATTATAAAATCGGTCAAAATCGGTTTTGTCCAATACTCAGCCCAAGGCTCCGTCGCTCATGCTTCCACTCAACAATAGATGCATCATGAATTTCAGACTTCCGGTCATCGCGCAATGCATACTTGGAAGGATTTTCCGAAAAAGTGAGCATCAAACCGCCATGTTTGTTTTCCCAGTGGGAATGTGTTTATTGACAAAGCCGATCTTTTCTTTTGAACCATATCATTTTTGTTTCTGGTTCTGATATTGTCATATTTTAGTTTTGGGATTCAGACATCGTAATTGTGTGGTTGTTGGATGTCGTAACAGCGGAAAACGGCTCGAGAAATGGGCTTCGGAGGTTTCACATAGATTCACATAGAATCTATGTGAAACCTCTGTTCAAACTGTTTCCCTTCCCAACGGAATTGAAAAATAGTGAAAGGCGAAGGCGATGTGGAGGATTTATACTCACCAATAGGAAACCTTTGGCTGCCTAAATCATCCCGAGTTTGCAGTGAACATTTTGTATGTGGAGCCATCAAAGTGGGATCCCATTTGTTAAGCGAGAGCTACAGAAGACAAACAGACTGAGCTCACACTTTCTTGTTCTTGTGGTTTTACAGCAACATCACATCTTGGTCTCTTTGCAGTGGAAGGTGTTTCTTGGCGAACAGTTGGTGCCTTTCCCCTTCTCACTGACTTTTTAAATTTGCAACCAAGGTTGAGCACTCCACATACAAAATGTTTGCTGCAAACTCAGGATGATTTCTTAGGCAGTCAAAGGTTTCCTTTTTCATCCTTCCTGTGTATCAGTCCTGCCCATCGCCTTCACCTTTCACTATTTTTCAATTCCGTTGGGAAGAGAAACAGTTTGAATGGAGGTTTGCAGTCACACAGATCTGATTCCCTTTTGCATTTATGGAGTTCGCAAACTTCCTGAAGCCCATTTCTCAAGCGTTTTCCACTGTTAGGACTTTCAACAACCACACAATTACGATGTCTGAATCCCAAAACTAAAAAATGACAATATCAGAACCAGAAACAAAAGCGATATGGTTCAAAAGACTAGAAAAGATCGACTTTGTCAATAGACGCACTGCTCACTTTTTTGGAAAATCCTTCCCAGTATGCACTGCGCAGTGACCTGAAGTCCAAAAAGTTATTTACAAAGTCCATAAAAGTTGCTTAGAAAGTCCATAAAGTCAATAAAAAAAAATTACTTAAAAACGCAATTTCCTGGAAACTTCACGCAGCTTGAGCAACCTCTAAAACATCTCCTTTTTCTTCAAAATTTCTTCCTAGATCATCTTTGGATGCTAAAACCTAATGCAGGGTTCTAATTGAGGTTATCTGAAACTTTATTTTTTACCATACCCCATCTCTTGCCCCACTCACCAGTATTAGGCACCACCAGGCGTCCCCCGTTGTGGCCGAACACTCCGCTGATCTTCTGCTGCTCCTTACACAAACCCACAGGCCCGTTCAGAGTCATCAGGCCCTTCTTCCGCCGCTCCGCCGTGCCGCTGTAGTCCCGGCTCACGTCCCTCGGGTAGGTGTCCGACGGGGGCTTGTTGTGGTACTCGGCCCGCTCGGCTACTCCCAGAGAAACCATGAAGGACGACTGGACTTTGACCTTAATGTCGGGGAGGGGGTCGAACAGCTCCTTATCCGCCCCGTCCTGGAAACACAGAGGCGTGCTGTAGGTTCTGCTCACGGTCAGGTCCGGCTGGATGGAGGAGTTCAGGAGGAGAGCGTTTCCTGGAAGAAGATGAGATGTGAGGGTTAGAACTTTGCGTATCAGATTTTTTTATGGGTGCAAGGTGGTTCCAGTTGGCAGAAATTGAAAAATGAGCACCCCTCTGTCCGTCACTACTACTGTCAGGCTCAACATTCTGGTCTTTACAAGTTAATCTTAACCGACTCTACGTGATTTTGGTGTTTTTAGGTCACCATTTTGTCTGTAAATCAAGATATGAATAATAATAACAGATCAGGTGCCTTCTTTAATACAATAATTTACTATATATTACAATACAGAACAGCCATTAAATCAGATTTTTAGACATTGTACATACAGCTAATTTATTGAAGTTTGGTGTTTTTCTTCTCTAGATGATTCGAATCAGAAAGCAGAATGAGTGGATCTTTTGTGTTGCCAGTTTCAGTGGTGAATTCTACTTGTTTTAAACTTCAAATGCCTTTCTCTGATCTGAATGGTCACAAACTAAACCCTAGAACCTGCAGTCAGTCATGAGTCAGTGCTAGTGCAGCCTCTGCAGCTCAGTGAGGGAATTCTGGAGGTTTTGAGCTTTCACATGAGGCCTGTCCATAAACTGAGAATGAAACAAATTTGTATATGTCCTCTAGGGCTGGGCATTTGATAAAATTTTCTTAATCGATCATCGAGAGAATTAATGATTGTTTTTTCCATTAATCATTAATATTTTTATATTAAAATTATCATTATTATTATTATTATTATTATTACTAATCTGCATAAATAAACTCAACTTTACCACATATAAACCATATCCACTCTAGAGCCACATCAGCCTGTTTGACATTAGAATGTGTTTAATGCAGCTTTGACACATTTGTTTATGTTTTACAGAAACAAAACAAAACTTTAAACCACATGACTCAACTATAAGTGCTGAAGAAAAACACTGTGCTGATACGGTTCAGCTTCTGACGGACTAAAGGACACGACTTGACACGATGGAATATGAGTGTTCTCTCTGTGACAGAGGGATGTTGGTGATGATGATGATGATGATGGTGAGTCTGTTCTGTGTGTGTGCAGCTCTTTATTTAACATAATTTCACTCACTTTATTTATGTTGGTCAGTTTATTTATTTTGGTTACTGTTGTGATAAAAAGACTGAAAAGTGTTTATCTTTTGGACACATGCGCACTCAACTCAGTAACCGGGATACTGCATTTACACGCACCATGACGAAACCGGGACACTCCAAAAACCCGATCATACCTGGCACACTGATGTGCTGTAAACACACTCCCAGAGCCCAAACGTGGGATGTACCAAGGAGCCAGAGCCTAAACATGGGACTTAGAGGCCGAGACTCCAGTGTTTGTGTCAGTCACAGCATCGTCTTGTCACAGTACACACGGCAACCTACATTCAGTTTGTCAATAAAAATGAACGTGATCGATAAAATTCTTAATGATCAATTATCGATTAGTTGACTAATCATGCCCGTCCCCAGTGTCGTCTGTCTGCACGTTAAGATTCTGGCAACACAGGTTCAAGTTGTGATTGTAATGCCCTTTTAAAAACTGTTTAAGTGCAGGTTACATACAGTTCTTTTATACTAGAATATACTTTGAAAAGAATTAGAGAAAAAAAATAAATAAAAATAAAGAGAGTTAAAAAGATCAAATATAACACACTGGAAGAAAACCAGAGAATAACCCAACTGTGCATGTTTTGGACAAACAAATTAACAATGTGAGTGTCATTGGTTGCCTAGTAACAACATATCGGTGTGGAATAAAAATAAAAATGTGATTAATTGCCGTGTTAGTTAAGGTTAAACTGTAAAAAGAGCGCCCTGAGGTGACACTGAGAATTCTGAGAAATAACTCCATAGATCTGTATTTGCTTCTCCTGCACAGGCTGAATACTGCAGAATCCACTGTATCGTTTATTTATTTGCGCAGTGCTAAATCTCTGTGAGGTTTTTATTATTTAGAGGCCTCTTCTCAATAACTCAAATTTGGAATAGTCAAAATGCAGTGTCTTCCCTTCACTCTGCTGTGGAGAGCTGAAAACGTGGATAAAGAGTCAGATGGCAAAATAAAGCTCCATCATATGTTAAACTACACCACCTCAAACCCAGAGAAGCCAAGAATTTAAAGCAAACACTAGTGCACATAATAAGAAAGCAGAAACTTAGAAATAGAATTAGAAACTTTGAAGAACTAAAGGTCAGAATTTACTTTAGTGAGCTTTAGCCATGTTATAATGTAATTACCTCATCAAAAACAGACCTGATGTTGTGTTTGTTTCATACACACATATTGGAGTAACATTTAGGGATGTAATGGTACATGTATTTGTGCCAAACCGTTTCTGTAGGTGACGTTCGGTTCGGTGCAGGGCTGCGCACAAGTGTGCCACTACATGTGCAGCTATACGAAGGCTCGGCTCTTTAATATTCACGAGGGAACTTGTTCGTGATTGGGGCAATGTTTCTCGCAACGCTTTATAGTTAGGATGGCCGTTTTGACAACAATTGCCCCCCGCCTTGACTACGTCCCTCCAAACCACATTAATCCTCGCAAAACTACAAATGTCGCTCCTCGGCCCTCATTTTTGCCAGCATGGAAGGGTATTTTCAACCACCGGGGACGATGTACTTACAGCAGATCTGCACTTTCTGCAGACAATGTGGACAAGTTGTTTTTTCTGGCCAAAAATATGAAGATTGAGTAAAAGTTCATGCTGGAACTGTTAGGGCTGTGCTTAACTTTTTGAAAAGTTTTGTTTGCTGTTTACAAGGTATTTTATATTATATATATTATATATATATATATATATATATATATATATATATATATATATATATATATATATATATTATAATATTTCATACATTTATTGCTTAGTTAAGAATATTTTATTTAACTTAGTATTACCAAGCAACACTTCGCATTTATTTTATTTTCCTGTTTGTATAATATTAAAACAAATTGTTGGTTTAATAAACACACAAATAAACAACAAGCAAATGATTTTCCATTTTGTTCCCATAACTGTACCGAAAATGAACCGAACCGTGACCTCAAACCCGAGGTACGTACTGAACTGTGATTTTTGTACACCGCTACACCCCTAGTAACATTTATTATTAGTCTGTCTACATCTCTTTGTTTGTCATCCAAATAATTCTAGTGAATGTATATGCAGTTTTTGTTTTTGTTTTAATAAAGCCCTCAGGATTTTCAGCAGGTCTCAAACAATAATAAAAAATACTTTTACTTTTCAGTCCTGTTCAAAATAGAACAGAGTAGAAAGTACAGATACCTGCTCTCAAATGTAGAGAAGTAAAAGTAAAAAGTACCCACTTACATAAAGTACAGATACCTAAAATCTAAATCAGTACTTTTGCTTCGCTACATCCATCACTGAAAATCACCTACTTAGCTTAGCACTTCAGTAGTTTTTAACCACAGCTTCTCAGGTCAGTGTCCAGTCCTGACCGGTGCAGCGGGGCAAGAGAGACACGAGGAAGGGGCAAGAGAGAGAGAGAGAGGGATGAGGGATGAGGGACGGCGGGCGAGCGAGAGAGGGGTGAGAGAGCACGACCCCAAACAGAAGCTGGCGTTCGCGGCTCCCGCCATCGCGCCATTACATTTTAATTACAAACATAAACAGCTTGATCTGCCCCATCCATCTGCTCCGGTGTGGTCGCTCCCCGGGCCGGCTGAAGGACGAGAGCCGGGGCTGGGGCGGGACAGCGAGGAGCCGATGGGGGTTCGGTGGCTGCTTTGTAAATGAGAGCTGTCCCGTCCCCCACAGCGCGTCTTCAGCTCTTGGTCATTAACAGTGGAACGGAGCCAAGCGGCGCGGTGGAGTCCTTGTGGCCAGATGCTAGGAGGCCAGGCGGGGGGCTAATGCTGGGTTATTTTTAGAGGGTTTGTTAATCACCAGTGGACGCGCGACGTGATTGGTGGACGGTGTTTTGAGGTGGGTGTGGTGACTCGGCGCTCTTGATGGATGGAGTTTGTCCCGTTAATGTATGGCCTAAAATAGTGATTACCAAAGTTTAATGTAGTGTCGTTTAGATACAGTAAATTGACTTTGGACAAGAGGACATCTTATATTAATGGTCCTACTTTAGGGAGATAGGGAGATGCATTGTTTCAGGTCTATAAACAGGAGCATTCTATTAGAAAAGACAAACTATTCAAACTTAAATCAGAAGTTGCTCAAGTGGCTTAAACGACTTCATTCTAAAAACTTTTATCCAGTTGACAGAATTGCATTTTCTTTTAATAAGACATTACTCATATCAAAACAAACATAAAATATGTGTTGTACTCATAACATCTTTTTGGGATCCGATCCGATACTTGTCATTATTGTACTTGCTGATACCGATATTAGTTCGATACTGCATAGTGTGAAGAAGTAGACTGAGGCTACTCAATGTTGTTAAAGTAAAAGAGCAAAAAATAAAAGTCTATCTCCAAAGAAAATTGAGAATAAATGAGATTTTGAGGACTAAAGTATTAATGTATAAAATGTATAATGGTTTGATAAGGAGTTGTGCTGGTGGTTTATCCACTTTTATCTTTGTACATTCACGTTCTACCACAGAGCAGATAAAACCTAACCAGGCTGGCACCACCTCGTGCCTCTGCTCAGTTTCATTTCTCTCCAGCAACTAGGGCAGGAATCAAAATACACTAGACGGTTCGCAAAAACATCAGAAGTGCAATTTCGGGCACCAGCCAATCAGCAAAGAGTGATATATTCAATGTTGGCAACGATTCCCGAGATCGAAAATTTAAAGCTGGAATAAAGAGAATGTTTGGTGAATTTCATTAAGGGGAAAGACGTTATTGTCCTTCTTCCTACTTGATGTGGGAAAAGCTTAATATACCAGTTAGGCCCGTTAGCAGTACATTACATAGGTCACGACCAAAGAGCAGTGATTGGTTAAATGATAAAAAGTACCCGCCTACTGTTGAGTGAATGAAATCTAAGGCTGCGAGGTCAGACGGTTTGTAT